ATATATATATATATATATATACATATATGAGTATCGCCAAATATTTGTATTTTATTAACAGAGTCAAGAAGACAGCATCAACAGCAGAAAGAAAAAGAACAAAGAAACTAACATCTTCTCCCTATCCTTCCTTCTGCTGCTGCTGCCACTGCTGCTGCTGCTGCTGCCACTGTTGCTGCTGCTGCTGCTGCTGCTGCTGCAGGGAGTTTCATTTTCTTCTTTATTTCCTGGTGCGGGGCCTCAAGCAATCGATTTGCTGCAGCGGCTGCTGACGTTCAATCCCGACAAACGCATTACTGCTGTAGAAGCACTGAGACACCCCTACTTCAAAGTAAATAAATAAATTAATTAAATTAATTAATTAAATTAATTTAATTAATTAATTAATTAATTAATTAAATTAAAAATGCATAAATAAACATATAAATATGTCAATAAAAAATACTTAAAGTATATACCCATGCTTTAATTAATTAAATTTTCTTCGCTTCTTCTACTGGCTGTTATAAAATAAATATAATAAATATAATAAATATAATAAATATAATAAATATATAATAAATAGAGTAAAGATATTTAAATATATAAATAAAACTTAAACACTGTAAGGATATTTTTATTTTTATTTATTATTATTATTATTATTATTATTATTATTATTATTATTATATTTTTTTATTTTTCAGGGTTTGTATTGTCGTGAAGACGAACCGCAGGCGACGCGTCCAATGGATTGGACCTTCGATAACTTCCTACCCAACAAAAGGTAACAGCTAGCTACAGCTAGCTACAGCTAGCTACAGCTAGCTAGAGATAGCTACAGCTAGCTAGAGATAGCTACAGCTAGCTAGAGATAGCTACAGCTAGCCACAGCTAGCTGCAGAGAGCTAGAGACAGGTGCGGCTAGCTACAGCTAGCTACAGAGAGCTAGAGATAGCTAGAGATAGCTAGAGATACGTAGAGATAGGTAGAGATAGCTACAGCTAGTCACAGTTAGTTACAGCTGGCTACAGTTAGTTATAGCTAGCCACAGCTAACTACAGCTAGCTATCTGCAACTAGCCGCCCTTTACTATACTCATTTGAACAGGGAACGTCGCTATAACATTATCGGCTGCTGCTGCAATGTTAACGACCCAGCTGCTGCTGCTGCTGCTGCTGCTGCTGGTGCCTCTGTTGCTGCTGCTTCTGCTGTTTCTGCTGCTGGTGCTGCCGCTTCTCCTGTTTCGGCTGCTGCTGCTGTTGCTTCTGGTGGTGATGCTTTGCTGCTTCTTATGTTGTTGCTGCTGCTGCTGTTCTTGCTTGCTGCAGGCTGCTGCAGAATATGATATACAAAGAGATATTATCCTTCCACCCACAGATCGCTTTAAGAGACAGATTGCTGCTGCGCCCACGAGGGCTGCTGCCGCAGCAGCTGCTGCCGCTGCTGCCGAAGCATCTGGCGAGCAGTTTGCTGCAGTTCGATGAGGAGCAGCAGCGGGAAGAGCAGCAGCAGCAGCAGCAGCAGATGCTGCAGCAACAGATGCTGCAGCAACAGCAACAGCAACAACAGCAGCAACAGCAAGAGTTGCTCCAAAAGCAGCAACAACAGCAGCAACAACACATGCTGCAGCAGCAGCAACAACAGCAGATGCTGCAGCAGCAGCTGCAGCAACAGCTTCAACAGCAACTGCAACAGCAGATGCAGCAGCAGCAGAGGGAGCAGCAGCAGCAGCAACTGTTATTGCAGCAGCAGCTGCAGCAACAGCAACTTCAGCAGCAGCAGCTGCAGCAGCAGCAGCAACAACAGCAGGATCAGCAGCAACTCAGCTCTCTTGTGCACAGGTCTTGCTGCAGCGCCCCTGCAGCATCGTCTGAAGCAAACTCCAGAGAAGCGTTGCAGCAGCAGCAGCAGCAGCTGCTAATGCCAGCAGCTTCAGCAACCGCAGCACCAGCAGCAGCCCCTGCGTCAGCAGCAGCAGCACCAGCTGCAGTAGCAGCTGCAGCAGCAGCAGCAGCAGCAGAAAGCAGCAGACTTGCTGCCATTCGTCGGATGAACCCTGTGGTAGATTCCTTAGGACCCGCTATACGCGCTCTGAAGCAGCAGCAGCAACAGCAGCAGCAGCAGCAGCAACAACAGCAGCAGCAGCAACTGCTGGATAGCATGCACGCGGGTAGCTGTCTTGCGCATCAGCAGCTGCTGCAGCAACACCGTCAATCGCTGCTGCTGCAGCAGTCCGCGTACTGCTCGCTGCAGCAGCAGAAGCAGCAGCAGCGATTGAATGCCGCAGCAGCAGCAGCAGCAGCAGTAGCAGCAGCAGGCGCTCCCCACAGACACTCCATAGGGGCCATCAGCGACACTGCAGCAGCAGCAATGCAGCAGCAGCAGCACAAAGCCCCTTGCGTCGCTACAGCCCCAGCAGTTTCTCTTCATCACCAGCGACATCAGCAGCAGCAGCAGCAACAGCAGCAACAGCCGCAACAGCAGCAGCACTTCTCTCCGCAAATGTATATGGGTACTTCTGCCCAGCACGACAACACAAAGAGACAGGCAACTGTTGCTGCTGCTGCTGCTGCTGCTGCTGCGCACAGCAGCAGCGTTTGCTCCCCCGTACAGCACCAGCTGACGAACTCGCAGCTGTCTGAAATGCTGCAGCTGCAGCAGCAGCAGCTGCAGCAACAACAACAGCAGCAGCTGCAGCAGCTGGCGAGCAGCTGCTGCGGTGGCAGTTTCTGCTGCGACAAGTGCCGCTGCCTTGCTGCTGCAGCAGAAGGTGAAGGGCCTGAGGTATTACGCAGCAGCAGCAAAGCACTGAGACAAGCAACCAGCAGCAGCAGCAGCACTGCAGCAACAGCAGCAGATGTTGCTTCGCTATTGAACTGGCCCTCGTCCGGCAGCAGCAGCAGCAGCAGCAGCAGCAGCGATAGCAGCTGCTGCACCTCGGCCTGGGCTGCTGCAGGTAGTCGCAACACAACGAGGTCTTCTTTAGGGGGAGATGCTGCATTTGGTTCAGGAGAAGGGTACCCACAGCAGCAGCAGCAGCAGCAGTTGCTGCTGCTGCAGCAGCAGCTGCAGAAGCAGCAGCAACTCGCGCTGCTGCACCGCGTTATGCAGCAGCAAATGGCGCGGCAGCAGCAGCTAATTGATCAGCAGCAGCTGCGCCTCAGCCTGCAGCAGCAGCTGCAAGGCAGCCACGTCATTGGCTCCTCTGCACCCCAACAGCAGCAGCAGCAACAGCAGCTGCTGCAGCAGCAACTGCAGCAGCAACTACAGCAGCAACTGCAGCAGCAGCGTATCCACCAGCAAGGGGCAAGGCTACGCGTCGCTCCCGATTACACGGACGCAGCAGCAGACCCGAATGCAGCAGCAGCTGCTGCTGCTGCTGTTGCTGCAGCAGCAGCTACCAGCCGCTGGGTGCTGCCGGGCCAGCAGCAGCAGAAGCAGCAGCCCTATACTTCGTAATATAACATTTATTTTGTTCCAAGTGAAACAGCAGCAGCAGCAGCAGCAGCAGCAGCAGTTGCTACTAACGCGCTCTGCAGCAGCTGCAGGAACCGCAACTAGAGTTTGCTTGCTGCAGCAGCTGCAGCAGCAACAGCAGCAGCAGCACTTTAGTAATGTAGGTATATAAGAAAGAAACAGTTTGCATTAAGATTTGCTGCCTTTGTCTATTTGGCTGTACTTCTATATATGCATTTATTTATTTATTTTATTTTATTTATTATTTATTATTTATTATTTATTTGTTTATTATTTATTTATTTATTTTGTTCTGAAGATTTGTCTGTTGTTCAGCTCAACCCACTTAAATCTTTATTTACTTCTTTGTTCGCTTACTCAGTTTATTATTTATTTATTTATTTATTACTTCTTTAATTAATTAATTAATTTATTTATTCTTAAATTTATATATTTATTTATTTATTTACCGCTGATCTAAGAGCAAAGCGCAGCCAAACACAGCGCGACATACAAAAAGAAGCAATACAAATAAATAAATAAATAAATAAATAAATAAATAAATAAATAAATAAATAAAGAGGGCAGCACTAACAAACAAAACAAAGACAGAGAAAAATATTTTTAATATTCGTCGGAGTTCAAATGAATATAAAAACGCCCTACAAAAAACTCAACAATGCACACTCCTCCACAATGCACCATAGCTAGCTAGCTAGCTAGCTAGCTAGGTTGGCTAGCTAGCTAGCTAGGTTGGCTAGCTAGCTAGCTAGCTAGCTAGAATGAATAGCTAGCTCGATAGATAGATAGGATGGCTAGCTAGCTATAGGGACAGCTAGCTATAGGGATAGCTAGCTATATGGATAGCTAGCTAGCTAGCTAGCCAGTCGGCGCCTTCTAGGTGATGCCGGAGAGGAGGCAACTCGAACAACAAACCGAGGGGAAGTAGACAGCAGAAAAGCAGCATCAGCAGCAGGTGCTGCTGCTGCTCTGATGCTTTTGCTGCTGCTTGTGCTGCTGCTGTTGGTTGAGGCACACGCAATCCAAGCGTTTTGCTTTCCGTTCTGCTGCTGCTAAGTGATACTGACGCAGCTGGTGCTGGGTGATGCAGCAGCAACAGCAGCAGCAACAGCAGCAGCAGGTGCAGCAACAGCAGCAGCAGCAGCAGCAGGCACTTCATCCGCCCCACGGCGGCTGCGTTTTGCGGTGTCTGTGCGCCAGGGTTTCTTCTGCTGCTGCTGCTTTTCCTTCTGCTGCTAAGCTTGCTGCTGCTGCTGTTGCTTCACGTGGTGCTTCTAGCAGCAGCAGCAGCTGCTGCTGCTGCAGCTGCTACAAGGAAGCACCTTGCAGCAGAACGACAGCAACAGTTGTATCATCAAACATGCGTCTCCGCTGTCTTGGAGGTGAAGACAAAGCAGCAGCAACAGAAATGCCCTTCTCTGCTGCTGCTCTCTTTACTGTCTCTCTTACTAAGCTGTATATACACCCGACACACACACATACACAAACAGCAGCAAAACCTGCTACTACATCTGGAACAGCAGCAGCAGCAGCAGCATAAGCAGCAGCGCAAGTAGCAGCAGCAGAAGCACCGGCAACATCAGGATCAGCAGCACAAGCAGCAGCAGCAGCAGCAGCAGCAACAGCACGCGTTGACTTGGGAGTATCTCTGCACGTACGCGTCTGCGGCCCTCTTGGCAGCCTCTGCCCGTCTGCTGCTGCTGCTGCTGCTGCTGCTGTTGCTGCTGCTGCTGCTGAGCTCAGCTGCAACAAGAGCTGCTGCTTCATGTGGGGAGAAGAAATCCCAAAGGCCGTCAGATGCAACAATAATAAATTTATTTTCTGCTGTCTTCTCAACAAATCGCGTTTGAGGCATTATATCAATATACGGGAAAGACCAGGTCTCCTCTGCTGCTGCTGCTGTTGCTGCTGCTGCTGCTGCTGCTGCTGCTACTGTGGCTGCTGGTCCGACGCCATTGCCGGTGCCGCTGCTGCTGCTGTTACTGCTGCTGCTGCTGCTGCTGCTAGGAGACCTGCGGCGTCTGCTGCTGCGTAGCTCATCAACATATTTTTCTTTTTTTAATACAAAATCTCCGAAGGCCCCAGTTGGCTGCAGACGCCCCTTAACATAACACGAACTCAGCTGAGTTTCGCTACCTGCATGTACACCCCAAAGAGCAAGCAAGCAGCAGCAGCAAATCAAGAAAGCTGCAGCAGCAGCAACCGATGCAGCAGCAGCTAAAGCAACACATGCAGCAGCAACTGATGCAGCAGCAGCAGGATAGATGCAGCAACAGCAGCAGCAATCAACTGATGCAGCAACAGCTGCAACAGCAGCTGCTGCTGGCCTTGGGCCGCTGCTCCACGCTGCAGCAGCAGCAGCAGAAGGCAACAGCAGCAATCACTTCAGCATCATAAGCAGCAGCTTTAAAGGCAATATGAAGAGGAAAGCTGCAGCGCAGGCGTTGGCTATTTCCTCAGCAGCAACAGCAGCAACAAGATCAGCAGCAGCAGCTACATAATTATCTTCAGGTGTACGTACACCGCACGCGGTGTATAGTAAATTTACCTAAGAGACCAAAGACTTGCAGAAAAGAATGAAGAGAGTTTTGCGGTTCGCGAGGCTGCCTCCACTCTCTCTTACATATTACCTGGTGTACGTACACCCCAAAAAGAACAGCAGCAGCAGCAGCAGCAGCAACAGAAAGAGTAGAAGGTGCAGAAGCAACAATAAAAGGAACAGGAGTAGAAGAGGCAGCAGCAGCAAAAGAAAGAGCAGAAGCAGCAGCAGCAGAATGCCGAAGCCATCAAACAAGCAGCAGACACAAAAGGCATTACACGCAGCAGCAAAACAACACCAGCACCAACAGCAACAAAACAATAGCAGCAGCAGCAACAGTAAAGCAGCAGCAAAGCAACAAAGCCAGCAGCAGCAGACACACGACAGCAGCAACACAGATGAAGTGCAGCATAACCGCGAAACCAGAAAACGACAGCTGCACCACCAGAACAAAAGCAGCAACAGTAACAGCAGCAGCAGTAACAGCAGTAACAGCAGCAGCAGCAGCAGCAGCAGCAGCAGCAGGGTTGCATACTATGTCGTCTTCGTTTGGGTGTAATTTCTGAAGACGTTTTCTTTCTTCGGGGGAGTTGGCGTTCTGCTGCATGTTTAGCTCCACCACCTCTACGCCCTTGCTGCTGCTGCTGCTGCTGCTGCTGCTGCTACTGCGGCTGCTGCTGCTGGTGTTGCTGCTGTTGCTGCGCTGCAGCACCGCCATGCAGTCGCCGCTGTTAGCAACGACAAATCCCTTCTCCGTAAACAGCAAAGCCAAGCAGCAGGCCCCTACCTGCATATACACCCCAAGTACGTAGCAGCAGCAGCAGCAGCAGCAGCAAATGATGCAGATGCGCAGCATACAGCCCCACTGGTGTATGCACACCCCATGCATGCAGCAACGCAAAATCGACAGCTGACGTTTCGGCGCTTCATCCAAAAGCAAAGTTGAGGTGGAGTGCTGCTGCAATTAGCAGCAACAGCAGCAGCAGCAACAGCAGCAGCAACAGCAGCAGCAGATCTTGCCTTGACGCTTCTTTTAATTCCTAAGGAGTAAGCGGCATCGACGGAAGCGCCAATTGCCTGGTCCTGCAGCAAAACATGCAGAGCAAGCACATCCACACTGCAGCTACAGCAGCAGCAGCAGCAGCAGCAGCAGTCGCTGCAGCAGCAGCAGAACAAGCAGCGGCAGCAGCAGAGGAAAGAGCAGCAGCAACGGCAGCGCCAGCAGCAACGGCAGTAGCAGCACCCGCATCAGCAGCAGAGGCAGCAGCAGCAGCAACAGCAGCAGCAGCAACAACAACAGCAACAGCAGCAGCAGCAGCAGCAGCAGCAGCAGATCTCACGAGGCGGCAGAAGGCGCGGGCGAGGGTTTGTTGAATTGCTTGAAGGTCTGCTGTATCGACACCTCGCAGCTCCTCACTAACGAAATGCGGCAAATGCGCATGCACGAACTCAGCTGCAGCAGCAGCAGCAGCAAGAACAGCAGCCACAGCAGCAGCAGCAGCAGCAGCAAGAACAGCAGCAACAGCAGCAGCAACAGCAGCAGCAGCAGCAATAGAAGCAAAAATCCATATACGCTATGCAGCAGAACTCGCTTTGCTGTCCCCAGTCAGCTTTGCTGCTGTTGCATTTGCTGCTGCTTCTGCTGGCGCTGCTATTGCTGCTGCTGCTGCTAGTGCTGTTGCTGCTGCTTCTGCTAGTGCTATTGCTGCTGCTACTGCTGCTGCTGCAGTAGCAGCAGCACGCGTGTTTTGCTGCTTACCGACGTCTGGCCCCCCATGTCCATCGACAACAGCAACGAGGAAAAGGGGTTTGCTGCTGCTGCTGCTGCTGCTACCTGTGGGGTGTACAGACATCTGAAGCTGCTGTAGCGCGGGCTTAGCAGCAGAATGCGAACCAGCAGCAGCAGCAGCAGCAGCAGCTGCATCTGCAGAACCAGGTAGAAGACCTGCAGCATCAACGGGAAAGACTTGCTGCGCCAGCTGTACAAGATGCTGCTGTGTAGGTGTTTCAGCTGCTGCTGCTGTTGTTGCTGCTGCTGCAGCTGGTGGTGGAGCATCAGGAGGGGGAGCAGCAACAGCAGCAAACAGCAGCCTGTCTTCCACAGGGCAGTTTGCTGCTATCTGAGCTGCTCCTGCTGCTAAGCCAAGCTGCTGCAGCACCTCCTGCGTGCGGTGTACAGACAGCGGCCAGGCGCTCTGCGGCTCCCCCACCATCTGCTGCAGCAGCAGCTGCCCCTTCGCCTCCCAAAGCTGCTGCTGCTGCTGCTGCTCCTTCTGCTGCTGCTGCTGCAGCAGAAGCGGAGGCTCTGCTCCTTCACACCGTGCAGCAGGAGACTGCAGCAGCGCAGCAAGGCGTGGCATCCATGCAGCCCTGCTGCTTGACTTTAAATGCTGATGCTGCTGCTGCTGCTGCTGCTGCTGTTGCAGCTGCTGCTGCAGCAGGAATGCAGGAGCAGCAGCAAGAGCGACACCACACAGAACTTTGTTGAAAAGAGTTCCATTAGCACCACCTGCTGCTGCTGCTGCTCCTGCTGCTGTTGCTGCTGCTGCAACCCCTGGCCTACCGGCTGCTTCCTTCTTAATCGGCAGCGAAAAGCCGCCAGAAGCAGCAGCAGCACTTGCAGCTGCTGCAGCAACAGAAGCTGCAACAGCAGCATCCCGTAGTTCCTGCACACCCAGCAGCAGCTGCTGCTGCTGCACAACAGGCCTGGGGAACGCAGTAGCAGCTGCTGTTGCTGTTGTTGCTGCTGCTGCTCGGTTCAGCAGACCTAACTGAGATGTGTTGCAGGAGAAGCTGCTGCCGTTGCTGAGGGTATTCGTGGGCCCTGCAGCAGCAGCAGCAGCAGTTGCCGCTGCTGCTCCCCTATTGCTGTTGCTGCTGCCTCCACACCGCCGCAAAGTAGCAGCAGCAGCAGCTGCTGCTGCTGCTGGTTTCACCCGCGTCAGCCTCATCATCCTCAGACTTAACGCCATTGCATCCTAAGCAGCTGCCGGCTCACAGCAGCAGCAGCAGCAGCAACTGCAGCAACAGCAGCAGCAGCAGTTGCAGCAGCAGCAAGGTGTGACACCTTAATGAGGATTCCTTGATGCTGCAGCAGGAATTGAAGGGTTTCTATTCTAAAGACACGGTGTTATAATAGTGCTGCTCTCGCAGCAGCAGGAGCTGCTGCTGCTGCTGCTGCTGTCGCCTGCGGGGCCCCAAGTGGCTGCAGCAGGAGCAGCGGCTGCCAAGCAGCAGCAGCAAAACAAAAGGAAGAAAGACGAGAAGATAATATAAAGACAGATAAAGGTGTTGGGTTTCATAGAGATCGAGACAGCCAGCAGCAGCAGCATCCGCAGCAGCAGCAGCAACAGCAGCAGCAGCAGCAGCAACAGCAACAGCAGCAGTGGCAGCAGTTGCGGCTGCGCCCATTGCATGCGTCAGCCTCACCTCTATGTTTTTTTAGAGATAAGGAATATAAACAGATGAAATAAATAGAGAAAGATAGTCAAATATATTTATTTTTCTATACCCTGAGGTGTATATACAGCTCAACTTCGTGGGGCAGCAGCTCATAAATATATTAATGAACGACATTGAGAAGAAATGTATTATTTATATTTCCTTAGCAGCAGCAGCAGCAGCAACAGCAGCAGCAAGAGCATGTTAATTTGCTGCTGCTGCTGCTGTCGCTGCTGCTGAGGCTACGGCAGGGGATGTATCGGTTCTGTGCTGCTGCTGCAGCAAATGCTGCGGCAGTTAGTGCTGCTGCAGCTAATGCTACTGCTGCTAATGCTGCACCTCGCGCTGCTGTAGCTAATGCTGCTGCTGCTAATGCTGCAGCAGCAGCAGCAGCAGCAAGACCTGCTGAGCTTGCTCCCTCACATCAGGTAATCCCAGTAGCTGCAGCAGCAGCAGCAGCAGAAACAGGGCCAGCTGCCGCAGCAGCTGCACCTGCATCAGCAGCAGCAAGACATGCAACTCCTGCTGCACGAAGCTGTGCTGCTTCTCCTGAAGCCCTTGAGAAGTCGCACGCAGCAGCAGCAGAAGCAGCAGCAAAAGTAGCAGCAGAAACAGCAGTGGGAACAGCAACAACAGCTCCAGCAGCAGAAGCAGCAGCATCAGAAGCATCAGCATCAACAGCAGCAGCAGCGACTCCTGCTGCTGCTGCACTCCAAGGGGGATTGGTGATTAAAGCCGTGCGTAGCTCAGCAAGAAGGAAGGGCTCTTTGCTGCAGCTGCAGGATTCTGCTGCTGCTGCAGTGTCTGCCATGCAGCAGCAGCTGCTGCTGCCTAGAGAGGCGGGGCAGCTGCTGCAGCTGCTTTCGCGCCACCAGGAGTTGCTGCCGCGCAGCATTTGGAGGGAAGCAGCAGCAGCACTACTGCCGCTGCTGCAGAAGCAGCAGCACCTCGCTACCCCCAAGCAAAAGGGTACAAGCAGCCTCAGCGGCATACAGCAGCAGCAGCAGCAGCAGCAACAGCAACTGCAACCGCAGCCGCAACCGCAACCGGCACATCAACATCAGCAACAATCACAACAGCAGCAGCAGCAACAGCAGCAGCAGCAACAGCAGCAGCAGCAGCAGCAGCAGATGTCTGCATGCGACTTGGCAGTAATATTAAATGCCTTCGCTCGGGCCCGACACCGGCCTGCGCGTTTGCTGCAGGAGGCTCTCCGTCTCCTTTCCCCTCAGGATGCAGCGCAGCAGCAGCAGCAGCAGCAGCAGCAACAGCAGCAGCAGCAAATGATGCACCAGCACCAGCAGCCAACCGAAGAGGAACTCAAAAGACGCAGCCGCCTTGGGCGCGCAGCCTTTGCGCAGACTCATCTGCATGCAGAACAGCAGCAGCAACAGCAGCAGCAGCAGCAAAAGCTGCAGCAACAACAGGAAGTTGCAGTAAATGAAGCCACATCTCAGCAGGCAGCGCGCTCTGCACCTGCTGCTGCTGTTGCTGCTGCTGAAGACACCATCTGGGAGTTCAACGCAAATACACCAGGAGAAGCAGCAGCAGCAGCAGCAGCAGCAGCTTGTGGGGGCGGCGGTGCTGCTGCTGCTGCTGAAGTTCCTAGCGCGGCAGAAGCGACTGCAAGAGCAGGCGAAGCAGCCTCAAGAACAGGCCCAGCAGCAGCAGCAGCAGCAGCAGCAACAGCAGCGACAGCAGCGACAGCAGCAACAACAGCAACAGAAACAATAACAGCAACAGCAAGTGCAACAGCAACAGCAGGAACAGCAGCAGCATCCACTCCACCAAACTCTGAAGCGCTTCCCGAAGAGATGTTGACTGCTGCTGCTGCTGCTGCTGCCCCTGCTGCTGCTGCTGCGGCTCCTCCTGCTGCTGCTGCTGCTCCAGTTGTGTGGGGGGTGAAGGAGGGTGTGTTGCTGCTGCATGCGCTGTCATCGCTGCAGGTGGCGGCCCCGCTGCTGCAGCAGCAGCTGCGGCTGTGGGTGCAGCGGCAGCTGCAGCACTTGAGCCCGCTGCAGGTAGCTGTTGCTGTTAATGCCCTCGCAGCAGCAAAGCAGGCAGACGCCCTGCTGCTGCGTTCAGTTGCTGTTCATATGCTGCAGCCGCTGCAGCAGCATGAGCTCCTGCTGCTAAAGCAACGGCAGCGTTCTAAACAGCAGCAGCAGCGGAAGCAGCAGCAGCAGCAGCAACAACAGGAGCAGGAATTGCTGCAGCAGCAGCATCAGCAGTCGCCGGAGCAGGAGCTGCATTCTCCGGAGCAGCAAGAGCTGCTGCTGCAGCAGCAGCAGCAACAGCAGCAGCAGCAACAGCAGCAGCAGCAACAGCAGCAACAGCAGGTGCTTCTGCGGCTGCATGCATTAGATAAAGGAGGCGTTATAATGTTGCTGCTGGCGCAGCTGCGCATGCGTAGAGCCGATGGCCCCTTGTCTCGTGCCTTGCTGCAGCATCTGCTGTCAGGCAGCAGCAGCAGCAGCAGCAGCAGCAGCAGCACCAGTGGGAAAGAAAGAGAAACGGTGCGTGCTGCAGCAGCAGCCGATGAACACATACTGAGCAGCAGCAGCAACAGCAACAGCAGCAACAGCAACAACAATAGCAGCAACAGCAACAACAACACTAGCAGCAGAAGCAGCAGCAGCAGGTGCAGCAGCAACAGTGTTGTAACGAACGTATTGCAGCAGTTGAGCGGGCGAGAGGTTGCTGTGCTGCTGCTGCACCTGGCGAGACACCCCAAACTGCATGCAGCAGCAACTGTGGAATGTGTTGCTGCAGCAGCTATTTTGCTGCTGCCAAGCCTACGTGACAGAGCGCTGCTGCTTGCTGCTTACGGCCTGGCGCTGCTGCTACCGCAGCTGCAGCAGCAGCAGCAGCAGCAGCAGATGAAGCCTGCAGCAGCAGATGCACGACTGCAGCAGCAGCAGCAGCAAGTTGCTGCTGTTGTTGCTGCTCGCTTTGCTGCTCACACCCCTGGGGGGCCCCAGGCGTTTGAGTTGCTGCGTGTGTTGCAGCTGCTGCTTGGAGGGATGCCGAAGCAGCATTATCCCCGTTGCTGCAGCGAGTTGCTGCTGCAGCTGCAGCCGCTGCTGGTACGGCATGTGCATGCGCTGCCAGACGCTCGGCTTGCTGCTGCTGCTGCTGCTGCTGCTGCTCTCGGGTGTCTCAACAGCGACTTCAAAGACAAAATTATTGCAGAGGCGGCTTATAGGCTGCACCATCTCTCCCCACACCATGCAGCAGTGCTGCATAAGGTTCTGCTGCAGCAGCAGCAGCATGAGCAGCAACAGCAGCAGCAGCAGCAGCAGCAGCAGCAAGGGGACAGCGCTGAGTTGCAAACAGAAGAAGAAGAATGGCCCATGGAGCCTTTCGAGGACGAAGAACTCCAGCAGCAGCAGCAACAGCAGCAACAGCAGCAACAGCAGCAGCAGCAGCAGCAGCAGCAGCACCCTCTTTGTGGAGATGCTTTGATAGACGGCACAGCTGAGGTGCTGCATGCGCTCTTCATCCGCTCCAAAGTAATTTAATTTTTTTGTTTGTTTTAATAATAACTGCCGATGTTATTTATAATTTTTTTTATTTGTTTGGCTTCCCTCCAGCCTCTCTTTTGCTGCCCGCACTCATCCTGCTGCTGCTGCTATAGGTTATGATGCAACTGCTGCTGCAGCTGCTGCTAGAACTGCTGCTGCAGCTTCTGCTGCTGCTGCAGATGCTGCTAGAACTGCTGCTGTAGCTGCTGCTGCTGCTGCAGTGTTCTACTCTGTCTTGCACATATGAACTGAGTTGTAGCTAGCTACAGCTAGACAAAGCAGCTAGGCACACCTAGGTGCAGCTAGCTACAGCTGGGCGCAGCTAGCTACAGCTAGCCAAGGCTTTCTATAGATAGCCCAGCTGGGTACGGGTAGATAGGGGTATAGTTGCAGCTAGCTGCAGCTAGCTGCAGCTAGCGACACCTAGCTACGGGTAGCTACAGGTGGCCACGGCTAGCCTCAACTAGCTCCGAATATGTGCAGCTAGCTACAGCTGGATGCAGGTAGCTACAGCTAGCTGTATGTGTAGAGCGTTGCAGACGCATGCTGCAGAGGTGAGGCTGTGGGGGGCGGGAAGAAACATCTAAAGGAGATAAAAGTAGAAGAGAGAGATAAACAAATAAAGATAATTCATTTAAAATAATGCAGACAGATTTTAGAACTTCAAGTGAAGACAAACTGCTGCTGCTGTTGCTGCTGCTGCTGCTGCTGCTGCTGCTTATTGTAATTGAGTGGTGCTGAGGCAGTGTGTCTACTGCTGTTTTTTGTTTAGGGTTAAAACATCGTCTTAAGAAATTATTTTGTTTGTTTTATCTGTTTTGCATATATATTTTATTGTATTTCTTTGCTTCTCCTTTGCTGCTGCTGCTGCTGCTGCTGCCTATGACTGCAGCACCAGCGCGGGGGGCCCCTCTTCGTTTTGCTGTTAAATTGTTAGCAGGCTTGGAGAGGCTGCAGAATAATATGTTTATAATAAATAATTAATAAATATATTTATTTATTATCTCTAATCTAAACATTTCTTGATTAGCAGATATTTTTCGTTGCAGCAATTAATCTTCTCACCCCTCTCTACCTTACTGCCCCCGTGCAGCAACAGCAGCAGCAGCAGCAACAAAAGCAGCAGCAGTAGCAGCAGCAGCAGAAGCTGCAGCTGCAAGAGAGGGTGCGGCAGCAGCAGCAGAAGCTGCTGCTGCTAGCACTCTGTGAAGGTTGGGTCTGCTGCTACGAGCGAGGGTTGGTGGCATGCGTAGAGCAGCAGCAGCAGTAGCAGCAGCAACAGCAGCAGTAGAAGCAGCAACAGGAACCTCAACGATCTCGGCAGCAGCCGCACCAGCATCAGCAGCAGCAGCCACAGCAGTAGCAGCAGGAGCAGCCACCGACCTCCGCAGCAGCAGGAGCAGCCACTACAAGAGCAGCATCAGCCACAGCAGCAGCCACAGCAGCAGCAGCCACTGCAAGAGCAGCAGCAGCAGCAGCAGCAGCCACAGCAGCAGCAGCAGCAGCTTGTGAATATGGCACTGAATCCTGTGTTAGCTGAGGATGGGTCAGGCGATTTGTTTCCGCTGCCTGCAACAGGCGAAATATTCTTTTTGCGTCGCGACAGCATCGGCTTTTCAATTAAGGGGCCCAGCCTAAAGCTGAAGCTTGAAGGCTCATGCTTCCTTAGCAGCTTACGCCTTGTAGTGCTACGCTCCAGACGGCGGCGTCAGCAACAGCAGCAACAGCAGCAGCAGCAGCAGCAGCAGCAGCAGGTTGCTGCTGCAGGAGAGTTTTTTTCTTGCGAATTGCCGCTGCATCTGCTGCAGCAAGTTGCATTTAAGCAACCAATCATAGGAGCAAATTACTTAGAAGGCCTCGTACACCCGAAGGAGGATTCTGCTTCTTCTTTAAGTGCTACATCTTCTTGGTCTATTACATTTAAAGCAGGCGGCTGCGGCACATTCATTAATCTCTTCTTCCCATTGCTGAAAACAGCAGCAAACTCCCTACAGCCAGACCCCTTGCTGCTGCAGCAGCTACCCCTAGGTGCTAATGCTGCCTTCGTAGACCCCAGCGATCCTTCACTCGTTTATATCACACAGCCACAAACAGCAAACCCGCAGCAGCAGCAGCAGCAGCAGCAACAGCAACAGCAGCAACAGCAGCAACAGCCGTGGCAGCAGCAACAGCAACACACCTGGCCGCAACAGCAGCAGCAACCCCCACAGTTCTACCCCTCTCCATACCCAATGCAGCAACTGCCGCAGCAGCAGCAGCTGCTGCCGCAGCAGCAGCCTCATATGCCTCCTCCTCCTTACCCGCAGCAGCAGTGGCCCCAGCAGCAGCCGCACTGGCAGCAGCCGCAACCCTGGCAGCCGCAGCAGCAACCTCCACCATTTCCGCAAGCACAGCCGCAGCAGCAGCAGCAGCAGCCGCAGCAACCGCAGCAGCAGCAGCAGCAGCCGCAGCAGCCGC